TTAGCCTTGATGACTCATGTTCGCAGGGATTCACATCAGCAGTGACTGAAGGTTTGTTTCACTCAAACTGTGTCAACAAAAGCTGGTGGGCCTTCGCAAGACTGTCATTTTTACCACAGCCTGGTGCAAATTAAAAATTTAATTAAAGAAGACGCCGCAATACTGGCATCCTCAGAACTGTGCTCATTCTTTTAAAAAGATATATTTTGTATTAGGATGCAAAAATTTATTTTTCACAAGAAACTATTTCATATGAGATTTTTCCATATTATTTTGAAGAAATATTCCTCAAAATGTTAAACGTTTTAAGAAACATGTTGCTTGTATCTTTCTGATCATTTCTGATAAAAGCTCCTTGGCAGTGCTTTTGTGTCACAGCTGATTTCTGATTTATCAAAAATAGAAAATCTGATTTTTAAAGAAAAGCAAAAGTTGTTTTCAAACAATCTTTATAATTGTATAATCTCATAGTTTCCTATGACATTTTTAGAATAAAGGCATCAAGCAGTTGACTGTTACGATATTGTTCAAAGCTATCATTTAATCTCAAGTATTGATGTGTGTAGGAAAACATTGTCAAACATCTCCAAACAAAAGAAACACCAGGGGAAATTTTACAAGGACATCCAAATGAGAAACTAAATTAAATGTGATACAATTAAGGAAAGAGCAAACAAAAGAAGACATGTTTCAATAATTCTAGCTTATAAAACTTTGCCAGGCTGTGCTGGAGGCTTCGTCCTGTTAAAGTATAAAAAAGACTGAATGAAATTAACTGTTCACTGCTGCATGCTTGGTCAACTACTCATCAAATTCCAGGTTAATCATTAAACTTAACTTATAAAGTACATGGAACTCGTGAAAAAACTGGTAACTCCCAAAATTGCTTAGTTAATATTAAGATAATACATCATTCAGGAAACAGCACAGCAATGAACATATTAAAATCCACCAAGTTCATGTTAACTATCATTCAATCAATCAAATTTTATTTGTATAGCACATTTCAGCACCAAGGCATTTGAAAGTTCTTTACATCATTGCAGATAGATAATGCTGGCAAACACACTCTATTGTGATTTATACACAAAGATGAGGCTATGCTGTTAAACATAGAAAAAAAAACATTATTCTTTATGTTAGTTCAATGTTCATGTGACCTGTATTATTAACTGAGCATATATGTGAATACTGAGTCAAGAAGATAGTTAAAATGTGTCATCAGATTTGATATGCAGAACTAAAATACGGACTTGCTTTTGTCATCTGCAATGAAATATTTAAAAATGTGTTATTTCATAAAAGTTAAAAGTTGGGGATTTTCAAATCTTATTGAGAGAACAATTATTGACTGAGTCAAAGCTTGTGAAATGGATGACATTATGTCATGCAGGTGTTACCTTATGGAGCGGCCCTACGTGGTTGAATTCACCAAAATTTGCATAGCACTTTTGAACTACTCAAGCTGCTCAGCTCAAAGTGCTTTCTGCAGGTCATACAATGTGCAAGATAAGCTAAATTACAATATTATTGCAGTAGTAAGACAGTCACCCTAAAAGTAAGAGCAGTAACATGGCAAAACTAAAGAAATCTGAAAATGAAAATGATGCAGAGTTAAACAGTAACATCCTTTAAATAAAAGAGGTGCAGCGATGAAGAGAACTGAATGTGATGAGAGGAATTTTAAGGTCTAAGTTTGTCGAGGTTTGTAGATAGTCAGAAATGAAGAAATCCGATCCATTCCGACTGTCATATCACGGTTTAAAGTTGGTAAAAATTAGGTTGAGGGATATGTATTAGTCAAAGTCTATGTAGAATGAAAGAGAAAATGTAGATCTACTGCACAAGTCTTGTCCTTGCACAGATAAAAGGAACACTGGAAGATATATTAAGATGTGAATTGTACATCTCCACTGCTTTTTCTTCACACAATGATCGACATTATTCCTTGGCTTAAAAGATGTAACAACCTATATGATAAAAATGTTACCTGTGAAGTGAATCCAAACTGTAAAGCTCCAATATGACAATGAAAAGCAGTAACATGTTCACTCATTTCACTTTGCTATTAATATATACATATAAACCTTGACAACTTGAACTTTAGAATTTCAGAAATTTGCTCAGTTAACGCCAAGAGTTCAAAACACAAGAATGCTGAATGGTGAATTTTAGGAATTGAGGTACATGCTGTACTCTCTTGCATTGTTTTGAATCATATACTAACCAAATTCATGTGCCTTCACAGAGGGGAAGAAGAAATTACTGTGCTTTCAAATAGAACAAAACAGAGTAGAGGAAGAGAACTTGCAAATAGCTCTGAGAAGAATCATTGTACCCTTTGCTCTTAAGATTTTATTATGCCCAGGAGGCTTCTCAGAGGAAGAAAAGGGCAGCAGCAATTTAGCTCAAGAGCAGCCACCATGACTACTGATAAATACAAAAATCATTCACAAATTAAGTGTTCTCCTGATAGTAAGGGTTGCAGAAGGTATTACTTTGTGTTGGTCATTGGACACAATGTTGTGAAGCAAGTTGACAATCCAATATTTAGTGGTTAACCTTTTGTTCATTTGCTACTAATTAGTGGAAATAATGATTGGTTAATCCTTAAAAATATGGAGAAAGCTACTCTGACATGCATAAAATTGTTTGTTATTATTGACTAAAAGGCTTTATTAGCAGTGAAGGAGAAGACTCTTGCAGGGCAACTTTTTTGCAGGCCACATTTTCATTCCAGACTGAGCATCTCAAACCTTTGTGCAAGAAAGCCGTAGGCAATATTTTTTCTTTTTTTTATGTCCTTGTTGAAAGTTCTGGTTCCTTTGGAGACAATACAAGAATGCATTATTTGTTTCCACACAGTTTACTCAGACAAAATGATTGTAGTTAAAAGTTTCTGCACGTAGTAAAATCTATTCGCATGTTTCATTTTTAAAGCGAGACGTTTATGACATATTTTATATCAGCCAACTTTGCGAGAGCAAGAGGTTCAATACATTTCCAAATACACAGCATCCAATTTGGTCCAGATTTTGTTCAAATAAGTCTAATTCACCCCAAGTCATAATTTAAGGACAGGAGTAGTTTGGCAATACATTAATAACTCTGAAGAAAAGTGCCTAAGTGGCATCTTGATGAGAGATGCCTCTATTCAGAGGTAGCAATAAATTTGTCATGTTGAGGTTTGTGCTACTGTGCTTGAGACAGTGAAGAAACTGGAGTATAATTTTATGGGTTTTGAGAAGCAGTTGTGTCCATGTTTTATTGTCTGATGTTCATCTAATGGATGTTAAAATCAATGTGCAGCAGCAGCTGTAGGGCTATTGCCCTACATAAATTTTAATTTTGGGATCCTAAAACCTACTCTTAGATATGCAAAAACATGTTTTACATACATTTGATTAGCTAGTATGAAGATGTACACGTGTGTAATTGCGATTGTGGTTCACTTTATGAATAACATATACTTTTTACATAAGCAGTAGTGGTGAATGTGCTTCTGTTGATCTATCAGTTTGCTCAATCATTCTCTTCCCCAGAAAGAATCCAGAAAGCCCTAGATTTGGCATGAACGTGCAACATTGAGGGATAGGACAAAGCAGCAGGGCAACAGGGTTAAATGGGATCAGGACCTTAATCTTCTGGAGGGAATTCAGAGTGTTGGTCTTGCTTGTAAGCACAACAAATGTCAGAGAAATCTTGAAAAAGTTAAAAATAATTGAACAATCTCTGGTCCTTTCTTCTTGTCACACAATACGGACCAATTAATTTATGAGGACTCGTTTTAGCTAAAGCAGAGAAAAGCTTAAAAAATGTACGTCTATTTCTCCTGTTAATTTTTGTTCTGATTCCGTACTATATCCTTGTACAACACTTTGAGAAAAAATGCACAGATGTAAGATGTATCTGCCTTCAAATATTAGAAATGCAATCTTGCAAAGCACTATGAGATAAGAGACAAGCTTGAAGAATCTAATGATTTTAATGATGAAAAAGTTTCTTTCCAATGAGCTGACTTGATATGCTATTGATTGTTTTCACTGCAAGCAGGGGCCTATTTTTGTGATTGCTGCTATAGTCAACACGTATATCAAGAGCATTCATTTCTCTTACAGAATTAGACATTCTCATTCACTTATTTACATAAATGATATTTTTCTGCTACATTAGAAGAGTGTAACTATTCCCTCCATTGATAAATAAATAAAAAAAAAAACATGCATCCAAAGCAGAGGCACAAACTTTGACACAAAACCACATAAGCAGGACCTTAATCTTCTGGAGGGAATTCAGAGTGTTGGTCTTGCTTGTAAGCACAACAAATGTCAGAGAAATCTTGAAAAAGTTAAAAATAATTGAACAATCTCTGGTCCTTTCTTCTTGTCACACAATACGGACCAATTAATTTATGAGGACTCGTTTTAGCTAAAGCAGAGAAAAGCTTAAAAAATGTACGTCTATTTCTCCTGTTAATTTTTGTTCTGATTCCGTACTATATCCTTGTACAACACTTTGAGAAAAATGCACAGATGTAAGATGTATCTGCCTTCAAATATTAGAAATGCAATCTTGCAAAGCACTATGAGATAAGAGACAAGTTTGAAGAATCTAATGATTTTAATGATGAAAAAGTTTCTTTCCAATGAGCTGACTTGATATGCTATTGATTGTTTTACTGCAAGCAGGGGCCTATTTTTGTGATTGCTGCTATAGTCAACACGTATATCAAGAGCATTCATTTCTCTTACAGAATTAGACATTCTCATTCACTTATTTACATAAATGATATTTTTCTGCTACATTAGAAGAGTGTAACTATTCCCTCCATTGATAAATAAATAAAAAAAAAAAACATGCATCCAAAGCAGAGGCACAAACTTTGACACAAAACCACATAAGCATAATGTATTCATGACACAGCCAAGCTGTATACTTGGTTATTGATTGAGTGCTTCATATTGACCAAGAGGCTTCTTTTCCGTTCATTGAAAACTCACTTGTACACTTTTTGATGCCAGATCCTTTCTTCACAGCGTGTCGACTAAGCTTGCATTGGAAGTTGTTCTCCCAAAACTCTGCAAACCAGATATTCCGTCTGTTGTTCTCTAATGTTCGGCTGATGAAGTATCGATCAAAACCTGAAAGTCATAAGAATTAGAAAGTTTTTTTAATTTGTTTTCCAAAGCACAAAATCAAATTATTTCATGTAATTATAAAATACATTAAAAAAAAACTCTTAGCACTTTTGTGTCAGGTATTAATGTTGGCATATTTAATTTATTTAATTTTCTTCACTCTTTCCTTTGAACTACAGTCGGTGAGCCAAACAGCAACATTGGCAAAATGTCAAAATGCACCTACAGGGGAAACCATGAATAAGGATGATTTGAAGAAGGTTTTACAGAAGCCATGAACTTCAAAATAGAGTAGAAGACATACTCATATTCTTTGAAGTTCCTCTATGACTCATCAATTTTATTTGAAACATTTTTCAAAGCTACCAAAATATTATGACGCCACTGCAACACCAGTCACAAGGGAATACCTTTAATGGACTGTCGTTTTGGTAGGATGGTAACAGCACCTTCTGCCATTTCCTCTTGGTTCAGGATTGGAGCGCCTTTGGAACCCCAGCTATCGGAACCTACCCAGATGAAATGACCTGTTTGATTGGCTCTTTTAGCTGCTTGAAGTAGGCGCCTGTGGGATGGAACAGAAAACAAATACATTTTTTAATATGCTGTATATATTGTGTTTTAGTATAAATGTGAGCAACCTGCAACATGCATGGTTGGACAGAATGAATAGAGTCTAATACCAGACTCCACATACAGCAAAACAGTAAAAAAGCCATGAGCCTGTTAAAATGCTATATATAATGACATGGATAGTTCAAGTAGAATTTAGATGACAATGAACTAAAATTTAAAAGCATCCATTATGGTGGTATTAACGTAATCAAATCTTCTTAGACTTAGCTTTAAGCTTATTGTAATTAATAAATATTAGGAACATATAGCAGGCTCTGCTGTAAATGTTTAATGAAGAATGTTTCAGATAGAAATGTTAAACAAAACCAAAAAGATTTGGTGTGTGAAATATTGCATTGAACAAAGCAAGACAAACCAGATGTGTTTCTGGGCCTACTCTATGCCCTCTACCATTCCCACTGTCTTTTGTCCTATACAAACAAATGAAAAACAGTTTCTAACTAAAATTGTGACAGTGCATTTTAATTTTTTTGATTTTACAGGATGGTTGAAGTGTTTTAATTAACATTTTTCAGCATTCTTATGAAATAATCTCAATTTTAACTTGTGCACAAGGCATACCTTCTTAACTTTAATTGTAATAGATTTTAAATAATTTTGCTTGTAGCCATCTGTTTTTGAAAAAGGGAATAAATCCCACAGTTAAAGTGATATTTTTAGGGGTTTAAATAAGTTATGTTAGAATATTTTACAACATTTATGTTCTGAGTCTTAACTGAAAACATCTATAACCCTCCTGAATAAGGAGCAGATCTTATGATAAAAAACGAGGCAGCTGGTGCTTATACAAGGGGAATCTGGCACCATTGAATTATTAAAAATGTGTGAATATTACAACTTACAATACAAACTCTTCAGAGTGATTTTTAACACCGAATGTAAAAACTTTAAAGAAGCCACACATTATGGCTGTAGAACGTAAACATGTAACACTTGTCAGGGCTTTTTATTCAAAAGCCAGTGAGACTAAAATCCCTTTAAAATTGGATCAAATGTCTGTTATGATACCATATATTTTGTTAAGTGCACCAATCCCTCCTACAGCAGGAAACCCAAACAACATAATGTTGTCACTCTGCACTTCACACACACCTGAAATAAATTTAAACTGTTATGTTTTGCTTAGGGGTAATGGCTAATTACCCCATATTGTTTGAGAGCTTGTTTTCTTGTGCAAAATAACTTTCTTTAACAAATTCTACCTGCAACTTCTATATGTTTGTGCCTGTGTTTTAAAGTTGGTTCAGCTATTTCATCACAGTTAAGCTCTTCTCCCTCTCTATTATGGATAGAAAGGACATAATGTAGCATATGTGGCAACCCATGGCCATGTAGAAAATTTACTCAAGGATATAGCAGTCTGGTGGCTTTATAAAACTATGTTTCTGACATTTCTCCTGATTTATTCTTTATGTTTACATGATGTCACATGAGGAAGCGGCGATGCACATGTGTCTCAATGTGTCTAGTTGATTTAAATATTGTAAATCAAACTGGCATAAGTCAAGTCATTAAATTTAATTTTACCTCTGAACATAAAATATAACAGAAAAAATATTTTTGCATCTGATTAATCTAGCATTTAGCAAATATGAATTTTGTTTTAACTCTTGCCTGTAACAAGAAAATGTGTAATTTAATGTGTGGGGGGAAAAGTTGTTTGAGATACCATATTTAGTTTTCTCTCAACACCAAAACAAAACAATATATGCAGGCATTTGTTTGTTTGTACTTGACTCTCATTTTATAACTAAGTCTTGCCTTTCCCTGTGCAGATTTTTGAGATCATTAAGATGTTGGCTGGTCACTCTGATCTCAAGGATAGTGCAGTCATGCTGCACCGTGATCCCACTGGCCTTTGGTAATTACTGTATATCCAGCCTATTACCTGTTATCAGGACTGGCTTAAGTCAGTGAGCAGAGGGACTTCTGACCCAGACACCATCATATCTGCCCACTTTCATGGCGTATATGCTGACCTACTAACTATAGACTCACGAGAGAGAAACATCGTCTCCTGCAATATCATCCAGTGCACTTGGATGATATTGCTGATTTGGAAGATGCTAAGAAGCTTCTGAGAGAAGCTGTAATGCTGCCCATGTGGATGCCTGACTTTTTCAAGGGAATTTGTCGGCCCTGGAAGGGCGTACTAATGGTTGGCCCTCCAGGAAACAGAAAGACAATGTTAGCTAAAGCCAACATTAGCTAACATGTTGGCTAAGAAGGAGAATATTTACCTCTTAGAAGAAATATTCTTCTCTAAGAAAACAGTGCTGCATGTGAACAAAACAATCATTGCCTTTTTAAGATTTTTTTAAAGGTTAGTAATAACTGCCACTATAGTCATGCATTTTTTAAATTGAACATTGATAAGACATGCATTTATAATAGAAATAGAATTTGCACTCTAATGAATCCTTAATATTGCTGTATTTACTTTGAAAAAATTTCAAGTAAAACCTTTCAAAAGCTTAAGTGCCATTTGACAAAGAATAGTGCAGATGTAAATTGAACTTAAGATAAAACAACTAGTTTTAAGTGCCAGTTATAAATTGACAGTATGTTGAAAGGATTCGACCATGGCAAACCTGTCATGATATAATCAACATGTATTCAACAGAACAACAGTAATCAACAGAACATTTTAACTTTTCTCACCTGATGTCGTCCTCATTGGCAAAGATGATAACCACTCGAGCGTTGGTGTTCTCACTTAGCCGGTGAATGATCTTGTCGAACTCTCCAACTCTTGGTTCACGTGGGATTTTCACTGACTGGGATATGCACAATCCGCCTAATTGGAAGAAAGAAAACAGATTTTTTTACATTTAAAAGACTGAGGAATTGAAAATTGATTCCCCATTATTTCATGTAATGAGTTTTTTGTGGCAATATATTTTCTCCTACGGATATCCTTTGCAGCAAAATGTTGCTTTTATGTCTTTTAACAGTACAAATAAATCTGTGTCCACTGGCTATTGCATTGGGTGATATGGGTCATCATCCTGCTGGAAGAAAAATTCAGGAGATAAGCATACTGTGTTCAAAATGGTTGGACGTGGTCAGCAACAACACTCGGGTAGCCTGTGGTGTTTGAACAATCCTCAACATTTTTTCCAATCTGTTATTGTCAAATTTAGTTGAGCCTGTGTGAATTATTCCCTAAGTTCTTAGCTGACAGGAGTGGCATCTGGTGTTGTCTTCTGCTAAATTTGATGCGTTGTGCATTCTGAAATATTTTGCATATCTCACTATGTGAAATGGCTATTGCAGCAACTGTTGTCTTTATGTTACCAGCCAGTCATACCATTCTCTCCTAACAAATGACACCAATGAAACATATCCATGTTTACAAAATCACTACCAAATGAATACTCTCTTTCTCTGACCCTTTTCTTCAAACCTGAATGGTTGTGTGTGAAAAACACACTAAATTAACAGATTCTAAAGTACTTGGAGCTGCAGATAAGGCTCAAACAACCATGCAATTGTCATTTTCACACAAATCCTGTTTTTTGGTTTTGCCTTTTCTGATGCTTTGTGTGAACTTCAGCAACTCATCTTCACAAGATATATAGTAATTTTCAATAAACTTGAATATTATTAAAAGGTTATTTTATTTCAGCTAAGTCTCTCACTGAAACAATATATAGGTCAATGTCCCACAAACATTATCAAACCTTTTTTGATAATGGTTTGATTATAAAACCATTAAGTAAAAACTACTTTACTTAATGGTTCAAGCAAAGGCTACTTACCATTGATATAAAATACAACAAACTTCATCAAAAATACCTGCTTAAAAAATAATTTTCAAAAGATGCATTTAATTTGACAAAAAAGCTTCATTGGTATGCACATTTTACTTTACTGTAGATCCCTAAATGCGCTGAATTGCTGCCATTTTATAGAATGACTCACTATTCGTGTTACTGATCAATTAAACAGATGTACTGCATTAAGAAGCTGTTATTTTGGAATTGTTTAAGATAGTTGCATTGATAAATACTTGCAGGTGCAATATTTCACAACATGAGTGATGTAAGGTATTAAAAATCTTTCATCTGACAAAATGGTCTAATTAGGCTATTATGCGTCCCATTAATTCCCATTACAGACTTGTCAGAGGATCTGAGAGAGTCTTGTTGCTACTAAAGTCTGATAAAACGCTTCCATAACATTGTAACATTTGGAAGTATATACATTTTTTCCAATTGCAATCTGGTTTTATTTTTCTGTTTTGTCATTTTTCTTGTTGCACAAATAATTGAGGTTTGTTCATGTCAACAACTATAGTTTATAATGAACTTTTAAGTTCTGCTCCTTGTCTATTGATTGCACATAACCTTGAAAGCAAGCCAGAAAATAATACATGGAATGTATTTCATTTCAGATAAAGCTAGTCAGTTTATTTCTTTCTAGGAATGTTGTGTCCAATGGCATATTTCTTGGGCATTGGCATACATAATACCATAAAACATCCCATAGATGCAACCAAGCAAAGGCTGTTTAAATCCTGGTGGAACATTTCAACTGAGTCGTGTCATGCTGCCAAGATTCAGAGATGTATGGAGGATAATGAATTTTGCTCTCACAGCTCTACAGAAAACTAGCCCAATGAGGAATTGTTGCAGGGATAATATGCTTTAGTCCAGTTCAAAGCAGCCAGCCTCATTGTATAAAGAAGGTCAGAGTCTAAGTTAGAAAATGGGAAATATGAGTAAAGTGTAGGGAAGTCTATTAAATGAACAGTGGTCTTGTGCTTCCTTGCTTCTCGGAACAACACGTCCTTTCCAGTTAAATCAGTGAGTTGCTTGAGTCACTGACCTGCACTATTGTTCTGACTGTACAATGAATAAATTTAATCATGTTTTCTTTTTTCCTCAAATGTCTGCTTTCTCTGTTCCACTTGTTTCTCAGAAAGGCAGCGTGTTCAGATTTCTTATGGTCGCGCATGTCACAAGTCGAAAGTGACATTTCTGGATTATGTGTGTCCAGTTGGCTGGCTAATGCAGTCCCTTCAATGAAGAAATACATTCAGCCTTTTCTGACTGTACAGGCTTGTGTTTGTGTTTAGTTATGGGGTAAGTTTTCTGTACTGTCAATCATTGAATGAACCATTGCTTCCACTGACTGATTGCTTCTTAAGAGTGTGCACTACTTTATGTTTTAATTGAAATTACTCATGTCAATATTGAAACAGCTTACATTAAACATATACTATAATTTTTTCAATAAGTCCACTTTTCTCCATTAAGCTGTTTTAATGGAGAAAGCTGTTTTGATTTGTCTGATGTAATATTCCAATCTTAAATGTCAGGTTTTCATTGGAAAAATCCTTATAATTAGCAGAGATAAAAGCTTTAAAACATTGTGTAAACAAGGACTGTGTAATTACTTCATAAATAATGTTTTTAACTCAGTGAATTAGGTATCTGAAAAAAATATTTTTGAAAATATAATTTCTTGTAAATATATTTGTACTACACAGATTCAGACTAGATTAATATAAATGGAATCTTTTTTCATGTAAAGTGCCTTGCTTGATTTATTTTAAAATGTTTTATCTCTAATTTTAACTACAGCTGACTTTTTGAAGAATATTTATATTTTAAAAATGTTTGTATTTCCAAATTATTCAGTTTTCATTATTAAAAACTGCAAAACATACACTGAGCAAATGACACAGTAGAATCACTCATGCTGTGTGCTGAAAAACTGGTGAAGTATCTGGTTTCTTTGCTATGTCTGCCATAAATAACTCTAAAGACAGGGGTTGCAAAGTTAGTAAATTGCTAATGGTGGTCAATAGTTTTAGGATATTGCCCATGCACCTGTGAAAGCACACTGTGGAACTGAAGAGGAGTAAACTTAATGTCTGTACACCATGTGCTGTTGATTGTGGAGTCTTTGATAAAACTGGAAAAAGGTTTATCTGTCTACCTCTCTGTGTCATTACACCACATGGGAAATTTAGCTGCAGCATACCAGCAACTCTGTTCCCAGAAACTCTATCAATCACTCGATTCAATGTGTTTGCCTCACTGGTATTTTAGTCCCCCATTCCCTCAACATCTGCTGCATGGAAGTGGAGCACTCATCCCTTCCTTTGCCTCTTTTCTCACATAGAACACAAAACAGGCAGCAGTATTGTTTCAGAAGGACCAGGGAATGTAAAACCCACATGTGGGATTTAAAGTACCCTAAACAAGAGCCTGTCATGATCCTTGGGGTATTTGGGTTTCAGTTTTTGTTTCAGTCCATTTATATTGGATCTATCTTGCTATATTCAGTTAATCTTTCTGTGTGTATTATTGTTATGAAGGTGCTGCCATATTAGTTATTTCCTAACTAAACAGTTATCATTGTGTTTGTACATCTTGATTTGTTTTTATTGGATCTGCCCCTAGTTTCTAATATTTTTGGCCGTTTCGTTCAGATTCCCTCTCTTACTTTCCTTGGTTTTCTTCCCACACAGCTCCTCTGAATAATTCCCTAATAAATGTCCGGTACATTACCTCAGTATTTATCTTCTTGTTTTTCTTTGGTACTTGCTGGACCTTTCTGTTACACTCCATGTGCTGTGTGACCTGCTCTTTCCCCAGTTCCTGTAGGTTCTGCTTATTCATTATTTAAGTCAGTCTCTACTTTGGAGTATTTCACAACCTCAACATGATTGTTGAGCTGAAACTTTATCTTCACCTGCACCAACTTTGAGTTGCCTTTATTTATTACTATTTCCATCTATCACTTATTGGTGAAAGCTGCCTTAGAGTCTAATGTTTTAGATCCTTACTTGTAAAAATTTGTATTCCAAATCCATTCTATATTGTCTTAATCTAGTGGTTTAAGTGGGTTTCAATTGGCCTAGAGACAAGCTTTGCATTAAATATTTTATTTCAATAACATCAACAAATTTTGTCTGAAGGCGTCTTTTTTTCTTTATTTTTTTAACCAAATTAATACATTTGTCATAATATAATTAAAAACTCGGCCCTTTCTTTTTTACCTTGTCTTAACTAGTACTGCTTTCTTTAAATAAGACCGGCTTCCACAACTTTTCATATTTAATGCTCTGTGTTTATTAAATTTTCACATCTGTTAAAATGTCAATGACTGAGATGAATCGGAAAATGTTTTATTATTATTTGTCATTATTATGTAGAACTCAGTTTTCACTTTAACATTAAAATGTTTTTTTTTTGTCAAAAAAGTCACATTTTGTAAATCAATTAGTGTTTTTTTACAACACTTTTTTGTAAAAAAAAAAAAAAAAAAAAAAAAAAAAAACTGTAAATTGTTCAAAAGGATGAATACTTTTTATAGTCACTGGAACTGCTTTTAACTGTCTTTCAGACATAAGTAAAAAAAAATCTGGGTTTCTTTGAGTCCATCAAAAGGACAACCTTTAGGTTCTTCATTGCTGAGTGTTGCTGCAAATGACATCATCAGAACATCGAGTACTAACCTGCCCATTTTCATGCTCACTTCAGTGAGGAATATACTCCCAATGAAAGCAGACCTACTTTCGAACCAAAACAACCGTAACTGATTATGGTGAGACTTGATAATGAAGAAAGGAAAATAAGAGTTATACGAACGGTAATTAGCATTTACTATTACAGAGGAATGTTAAGGCTATGTGACAGCTGCTTTAATTCAGAACAGCCACATTTTACTTACATGATGCCAAGAACCAATTGCTATTTTTGAGGGTGTAGTGTTCACAGAAAAATTTCAAAGAACATGTGTTTATGTAACACTTTCAATTTCTGATTGTAAGAAGCAGCACTA